AGTTGATTGGTGGATTTGCCTTCCAAACCTCTATGGACATAGGCAATGGCAACGAAAGGCATGCCATGGTCGAAAAGTTTGATCATAAGAGAAAGGCAAAGTCTGAAGTAGTTCTGTGTGCTGTTCCAAAAGAGTCAATTTGCTTTTATTGCCAAGAGAAGGGGCATTGGAGACGAAGCTGCCCTGTCTACCTGAGAGATCTAAGAGATGGGAGAGTCAAGACGTATGGCTCTACTTCAGGTAAAATCCATTAACTAACTCTATAAGTTCCTATTTTTGATTCTTGATACATTATGTGATAAGATTACATTTTTTTGATGTTTTGTAGAATCGAAGAAAAGAAAGGAAACTTAAAAAAAGAAGCGTGCTAAATCTGATCGTGAAGAAATGGATTTCGATCGCATGGATTCGAAGATTGGATTTTTTGAGCTGCTACTTTATAGTTAGGATAGATTGCTAAGAAATGTAATAGCATAGTTTTACAATTAGTTGTGTTGTAAGGACAAATTTTTCCGCAATAAAATAAATTTTCATTTTGTTTTATTTATTTATCCTTGCAATATGAAAAATTGATGTTTGTGTATTTCTATTATTAGCAATGTTGAAATGGATGTGATTCTTAGTTATATTATTTATGGTAATGTCATAATTTTCTAAGTAAGGAAAGATTCCCATCGCCCAAGTTTCAATTGGACAGAAACTTGGAATCTTACAACTTGTATTGTGTGATGTATAGAAATCTTGGTACTTAAGTAATTAAGACTAATTCCTTGTTCACATAAGTATGTGAGTCAAGTGAAGGACTAAAGGAACTAGTACACAATGTTGTGCACTAGTCAAATCCACCATAAATAATAATAACATTATTCGTCATGATTTACTAAAGGTCTAGTAAATGTGGTTATACTTACAAGATTAAGTGTAATTCTGAATCATTGAAAAGTTTCAATGAATGGCAGAACGAATAAGTAGAATCAATGAAGGCAAAAAGACAAAAAGTTTCTCCAATCTAAGAAGAATGGAGAGTACTTTTGTATTGTGTTTTGTGATCTTCTTAGTAATCGTAAGAACCATATTACAATTCATCCTCAAAGGATACCTTAGTGCACTGGTTTGGCTAAGAAGAGGAATGGAGAATTGTTGAAATGGTTAAGTCAATAAGATGTATCGTACTTCGTTCCAAAATCAAGTCTTAGAGTCATACTCCAAGATTGTGACTTGAGTGAGATAATCTTAAGTAGGAATGTTCTTACACTTGCACATTTTGGTAAGTTGTGATGTCTTGAATAAGACAAAGACCAACTAGTACCAAATTGCGCGTAGTTTTGCCTTGACATAGACACACACTAACTCTTGGATATTTGTTTTTGTCAAGAAATGTTTCTTGATAAGAGAATCTAATATGTCAAGAGATCAGTGGGAGTCTAAAGATCTTGAAAAGTTTCAAGAACAAATCAAGAAGCAAACCTATTAAACGTTAGCACACGACTTGAGGTTTATAACGTATCGTGTTGACAAAATTTTATTTCTATTCCATTCCAGTAAAGTTACTTATGCATATGAGTTCTACGAGTTCTCAATTGACTGCATAAGGGCAAGCACCTTGTTCAATGAAAGTACATTGACTGGCATAGGTGAGCTGCTAAATAACTTGGAAGCAATGGTGGGACCCTTGATGGCAAGAAATTAAGTATGAACAAGTTCTGTCCATAAGAGTTGGGATTTGTCATGAACATTATCTTATGATTATGGTTATGACAAATTCACATGGATATGAACACATGCACCATAGAATCTAAGTGTCATAAGGTTTCTCTCTTTCATGAAAATGATTGTGAGGAAACGCTTTCACTAAGAGAGATTTCAAGGAGATAGCGATTATGTAAATTGAATTCTCAAATTCGATTATGATTACGGCATCCCTCTTCATAGTTCGAATTATGAGATTTGGCAATTAGTCTGAACATTTGGGACTTAGTAATATAAGTTCTGAATTAGTTTAGACACACATGTGAGCTGTCTAAGGAAAGGTGTGTAAGTTTGAGAAGCTTAGATAAAGGTTTATCGAAGCACATCGTATTGGAAATATTAACTTTGGAAGCCTATAAGTATTGTCTTCTAGAAGTCCAACTGTTTTCTGAATACATGTCAAAGCTAGTGGGAGTATAAATGTTATGTCGGAATGGATATAATCATCATGTTAGTGGGAGCACGATTATTATCATTATTATTATTTTAAGTATTGCAAGTTGGCAATATTAATTATAGAAAAACAAAAGTTTCACTTTGCAAAGTTGTAGGGGTTAAAAAGTTGTTTTTGCTATAATTAAGGGAGAGAATGTTGTACTTCATTTCCAATCTAAAAGCTTACATCGAGAAATTTTAATTGAATTTAGTCAAGGATATATTTATTATTTGCATTCTCAAAGTTCGATTACGATTACGGCATCCCTCTTCATAGTTCGAATTTTGAGAACACGGCAAATAGAAATATTATGGCAATATTATAGCAAGAAAGCTGATAGAGTATCACGTTTTTTATGAATCGTATCCCATACGCTTCGGGTATAGGATCGATTGTTGTAATATTCGACCGTTCTAAAATTTTCCAAATGCCTAGGGCATTTAGAGGGAAAAAGGGAATAAAACCGAATTTGACTAAAATAATTAAATAACTGTCAAGGACAATCTAAGGTTCGCCAAAGATTGGTCGCTTGTGGACAGTTGGAAGTATAGTCATGGATGGACCATATTGACTTTATTATGAATAGATAAGACTCTATTTAGAATGAGTTGTCATATGGCAAATATGGAAATGTTTCCATATTGGGAGTTGGATATCGAGAATCAATGTCTAGATTAGAAACTTTTATGCAAGAAGGATGTTTAAAGGAATGTACTTTGAATATGAGACTTCATGACTATGGAATTGTCTTGTAACAATCCCCAATAGAGCACTTTGTAATTTCATTGGCAAAGTCTTGGTGACTTTGGGGCTGTGATATTACGAAAGGACCGTTGCATAAAATGTTAGAATCTAACATATTCTAGTAGTGGCGAGAATTTGTATTCTTACACTAATTGATTAAGATTAGGAATTGTGAAATGAGCATCATTGGAAATGTGTTCATTTGATCTATTTCACAAAGTAAAGACCATAGGAAGACATAGTGTGCATGCTATGAGCATGGGACAATTGTTGTTATAATTCAAGTAAGAAGTTGATTACCCGAAACAACAAATAATGAGTAATCAATATGGTGATTAAATAAAAGGTGTTTTATTTATACTCAAAGGTTTGAGGCCATATAGTATTAGTATTATTCTTGTGTTTCACTTTGCATGTTTTGACTTCCCGAATAATAAGATTATTCAAACCTTCCACAGTCGCTCATTCTTTGGAAGTAGGAATGAAAGAAGACTGTCATGAATCCGTCTGTAGATTGACTAAAGCGTTTAGTCATAGCACAAGTTTGCTACAGAGTTCATGAGTGCTGCTATAAGATTAGAGTATTGGATTAAACCCACGCTCACTTGGATCGCTTCATGGATTTTATCACGAGTGATTGGTGAGACGATAATATCTTATATTTTTGAAACCGGGATGTGTGAGTTGTATCTTACAAGTCGGTTACACATTGATAATATGTAAACGCACCAATAACTTGGTGTTATAAAACGTATTGTTGTGTGTGATTCGGTGAGTGAGTACAAGCGAGCATTGAGTCGAAGTTTATCCGTTCCTTTTACCCAAAGTGGGATAAAAGTGATATCTGTGGGCCCCTCGATGATTTAGTGATGACACCCTAAGCGCTTGGCCAAGCCGGGACTAATTTGATGTGTTCAACTATAGTCTGTTGTCAGTCGTCATAAATCAGAAATCGGGAAACAACACGTGAATAGAGAGTATGATTAAAAATCCATGTCTCAGTTCATACGATATCTAGAATGGAGGAATATATGATCCCTTATCTAAAGGATAAGTTGCTGATAAGATCAGAGTTCGACAGCGTCTTTGAGAGTTATGATTGTTAATCGGATTTTACTTACATTATAGTTACTAGACTTATCCAAGTGGGAGACTGTTGGATTAGTGTCTAAGCCCGTAACTATATTTGGTATGTACTTGACCCGGTTGTGCATGGTCCTTTTGGGTTGCCTTCACCAAAGCAACTTGATAGGATGATTTATGGAGAAATAGGATTAATTATGATTTATTAATATATTATATGAATAATATATTGAAGGAGAAATCATATTGTTTAATTAATATTAGTCAATAATTAATTGATAGTTAGTTTTGTGACTAAAAGACATTAATTAAACTTAGGGGACTGGAATTGTAATTATAAGATCATTGCAATTGGGCTATGGATCACCTTGGAACATAGGTTGGATGAATTCTATGGGAAGCCCATAAGGAATTCGTCCAAGGGGTGTTCTAAAGGGAGTCCATGGGCTGCTTAGGGCCTAAGCAGTCAAATTAGGGTTTCCTAGTTGAAAACCCTAATAGCCTCACTATATAAAGACCCCTATGGCCCCAAAAACGTGGTGAACTCTCTTGGAAGAACCCTAGGTCGTTTTTGGTGCTCCTCCTCCTTCTCATAAGTCATTCTCTTGCTTGTGGTGTTTGTAAGCCATTAGAGGAGTGACACTTGTGACTCTAAGCTCCAAAGACAAGAAGATTCAAGCCATTGAAGAAGAGGTAATCATCTGGATCTGCTCTTATGTGATAATTTCGAAATGCATATGCTAGATTAGGGTTCTTGAGTCTTGGATGAATTGCATGTACAATAGAGAAACCTAGATCCAAACATTAGGGTTTGCATGAGCACATAGGTTGTTGTTTTGGCTCAAACCCATCAGGTATGTGGTCCTGTTTACATTTTTTTGGAAAACTTCCGACTTATTATAGATTTGGTTTTCTAATTTTTGTTGTATTGGTCAAGGTTATTAATTTGGGTGGTGAAGTTAGTTGTGTGTTTAGTGAATGCTCATGGATGTTCGTTGGTCTACCAAATATTGTCAGGGTAATTCCATGTAATCCACCTTTAAACCTTTTTGTTTCTTGATGTAGTTTATGCATCAACATTATATTTTGATCATTTGAATTTTGGGTATTACTGAATCTACTACTTTTCTATTGTCATTACAAGTCCATTGGCATGGAATGTGCAATATTCTACTCATGTATTTCATGAAATGAGTTATTATACATTGTAAATTATTTAAGAGGTTAAAGAGAAATCATATGTTGGAAAAGTGGTGATTGATGACATTACTGAGTTCATACAGAGTTCATACAAAACAATGAATCTGGAATTGTTTATTGTTTCTCTCGAAAGGAGTGTGAATAGGTTCAAAGAATTTCTATAATTAAATTTGTTATATGATGTCAAACTGTTGATGAGAAAATTTTAAAAATAATACTTACTATATGCTTTTGTGTTCAAGAACTATAGGTTACAAAGGAATTGCGTGAGAGAGGTGTTTCAGCTAACCATTATCATGCAGATATGGACGTAAATGCCCGTGAAAAAGTTCATATGAGGTAAATTTGATTATCTTTTATATCATTTATTTTTAGAAATCTTGTATTTATTCCTCAAAAGTAATAAAGAACCCCATAGTTTTTTGCCAGGTGGAGTAATAGCAGGTTGCAGGTCATCGTTGGAACAATATGTTATCTTGTGTCACCAATATTTTAATTTTTTTTAAATTTATAATTCCAGTTAATGATTATAGATTTTTTTTATTTTGTTTCTAACAGGTGGCTTTTGGTATGGGAATCAATAAACCAGATGGTTAGTACTGTTTTTAACTCCTTTTTTTTACTTTAGGATTTTTTTTAATCTTACAAAGTACATTGCTATAGTCAGGTTTGTAATACATCACAACTTAGGTAAATCAATGGAGACTTACTATCAGGTTTGTAATTGACTAATTTTACATTTATACCCTTCCCATGCATAAAGGCATTTTGTAAATTTTATTTGTTTATTTTAGGAAAGTGGTAGAGTAGGGACGGATGGGCTTCCTTCTGAATGTTTACTTTACTTTAGGCCTGCTGATGTCCCAAGACAAGTATGAATTGTTGGAGGGTATTTCTGTCATTTATATAATATCAAACACTCGCCATCCTCTACTTCTCTTTATAGAGCTCCATGGTCTTCTATGAGAATTGTGGGTTGCAGAATCTATATGAAATGGTGCGATTTTTATCAGGTTTGTATTCTTTTACACATGTCAATGATCTTTCCATATTATTTTTTATTGTAAAATGTAAATTATTATTATTATTATACTATATTTTTTTAATTTAAGTGTAAAAGAGAATGCAGCCGGAGTGCTTTCTTTAGACATTTTTCTTCAAGAATGCAATGGTATTTAATATTTATATTTCATCATCATCATCTAATTATCATTATTAGGTAAATTAGTTATTAAAATATTTACTCTTGTGGTTTTTTACAAGAGTATGAATGTGTGATAATTGTGCATTTTCTTGTGAGGTCAAGGAAATTGATGTGTCAGGTATATGCTTAATCCATTAAAAATTATATATGTATTTAGTTTTGTATCTGTTAAGTCCAATAAGTCATAAAGAAACAAAATCTAAGTCCCAATTTTTTACATATATGCCCTTATTTATTTCAGGACATGCAAAAGCTATTGTATCTTTGCTACAAGAAATACAAGAAAAGGATCAGAGAGCAACAATGTTGCAATTGATTGACAAGTTAAAGGTTAAAAACAAGGAATTAGCTCAGTAATACTCATATCATATCCCCACAATTATTATTATTATTATTATTATTATTATTATTATTATTATTATTATTATCCATTTTCATAAAAAAATTATACCTTTTAGGGTTTGAGTTAAAGAAGGATGAATTAGAGCAATTTGTGATTCAACTTATTCTCCACAGGGTATTGGTAAGTATAAATGTATAATCACCTTTTAGTTTAACACATCAAAATCAATCAAAATTCAAATATTCTTGATTGATTGATAAATGATAACAGGATTGAATAAATTTGATAACTTTTTCAAAGAGTAAATTTTATTTTTGTATGCAGAAAGAAGAATTTTCGCATACAACTTATGCCACTAATGCTTACATGGCAATTGGACCACTTGCTAAGCATGTTTTGCATGGTAAGTGTAAGAAGTCACTTCAATTAATAAGCATTATAAATTTATAATGATTGAGAATTCTTAAACATGGAAGAAGAGTATTATGCTTGAGGTTAGTAGTGGATAGAGGAGTAGTGGCGTTGGAATTGCTAATTCCTCCAAACGTGGAAGAAACTCCGGATTGGAATCAGAGCTTGATAACTTGAGAAAGGAACTTGCTTCCATGGATGGAGGAATTTTCACTCATTCTATTTTGTCTACTCAGCAGATCGGAATGTTATGTTCTCAGAAACCGGAAACAACAGAACAGGTAACCGGGAAAGGAATGGAATCAGCTATTCCATTGTTTGATGGAACGGAATGGAATTGACCATGCTTGAAGGAATGTTAATATGAAATAATCGACTTCAGTGTTCACTTCAGTCCCTACAAATCCCAGTTCATTTTGGACCATTTTACCCGTACTACCCCCACTTGTATTGTAATTGTAATGGATAGTGTTGGTAATAAAGGGATTATGTACTTATGACTAAATACGGAGCAACTTGCATCTACAACATTCTTGTATGATCAAGAAGTTGGGTTCAACATGAGCTCTCAAATTCTAACCCGCGAAGAATTTGTACATATAACAGGAATGTCATATTTTTAACCTAATAAAGGGCTTAATAGCATTGTGCTTATTTTTAAAAAAAATATGTTATTTTTCTTATTTAATCATTATACTTTCAAATATAGCATCATTATTTAATTTTTAATTCTTATTTACAATAAAAAAAATATGTTTTTTTTATTATTGCAACATATTCCTAATTTTTTTTAATGATTTTGGACCGTTTTACCCCTCCTACATCGTTTATGATTTTGGACCATTTTACCCCTCCTCCCCCATTTGTATTGAAATGCTTATCTGTTGCCAAATAAAATATGAATAAGAAAAAAACATACTTTTTTTTTGAAAAAATGATGCTATATTTGAAAGTACAATGCTTAAATAGTTAAATCTTTTACCTTTATTTACAATACAAATGTGGTATAACAATGATTGATCATTTGTTGGAGATGTATAGTCGTTTTATATATCTTTTATTCTATATTTCATCATGACTCGAAACCAGTTAGAATCCATAAAATCAAATTACATGTAATCTTTTTGTACGATTATAACAGATCCCTAATTCGTTTTAATGATTTTGGACCGTTTTACCCCTCCTCCCCCCATTAGTATTGAAATGCTTATCTGTTGACAAAATATGAATAAGAAAAAAAAAACGTACTTTTTTTTGAAATAATGATACTATATTTGAAAGTACAATGCTTAAATAGTTAAATCTTTTACCTTTATTTACAATACAAATGTGGTATAACAATGATTAATCATTTGTTGGAGATGTACAGTCGTTTTATATATCTATTATTCTATATTTCATCATGCCTCGAAACCAGTTAGAATCCGTAAAATCGAATTACATGTAATCTTTTTGTACGATTATAACAGATCCCTAATTCGTTTTAATGATTTTGGACGGTTTTACCCCTCCTCCCCCCATTAGTATTGAAATGCTTATCTGTTGCCAAATAAAATATGAATAAGAAAAAAACATACCTTTTTTTGAAATAATGATGCTATATTTGAAAGTACAATGCTTAAATAGTTAAATCTTCTACCTTTATTTACAATACAGATGTGTAATATGCAATAAGATTAAGATAAATCAATATACTATTTATACATTTGTCAACCTGTCCACCGGACGGGTATGACACTAGTTGGTTTATTATTTGGTTTGAATTTCTGAATTTGTTTATTATTTTCTTGAAGGTTTAGATGTGCCAAATTTGAATCGTTAAAAGCTTAGTATCGCCATATATGAATTGTTGTTTGTTTGTACAACAATTTTTTTATTTTTTTTTATGAAATTCATAAAGGGAATGCATCTAAAAGAAGTTGATGTTCGAAACAAACAATTTGGAAACACATCCATAGATAAAAAAAATGTATGTGGAAAAATCAGCTGCCATCTATTTATAGTTTTGAGACTTCTAATTTGAAAATAAAAAGGAAATAATCTAGTTAAGTATTTATCTATACAGATAATACATGATTGATGAAAACAACTACTAAATAAGCATATAAGAACTGTTTTATTAAACTCTAATTATCTAAATAAGTTGAAACTCCCCCTCAAACTTGGTATTTATCTATACAGATAATACATGATTGATGAAATAATACATGATTGATGAAAAACAACTACTAAATAAGCATATAAGAACTGATTTATTAAACTCTAATTATCTACATAAGTTAAAAATCCCCCTCAACTTGGTATGTGATAGAGAATGGATCATATATAACGTGGGAGCAAATTGAAGATACCAAATTGGAATATTTATCATTTTCTGTATTACACCTCATTCAAGAATCATCTTTGACTAGCATAAATAGCATGAGCCATAGGAGTGGTGATTATTCATGAAGTATTTTACATTTAGGTCTTCTATAATGCATTGAACTCTTATAGATGGTATATATCTTGAATGGGTTGCAATGGTTAAAAGTGTCCAACATTCGGCTGACCCAAAAAGGATCAATATTAGAGAAATATAAGAGGTTGCTAAAAAGGATGATGAAAGATCCTTTGGTGTTCTTCTATCTTGTTATGCAATTGTACGAGGTCCAACAAGATCTTGGTAACTTAAAAACATAAAAGATATAATGTATATATGCATCATATTACATGATAGGATTGTGGAAGATAATGGATATACAATTAGTGATTTGTCAGATGAAGTAGATCATGTGATGCATGTGCATTGCGCACCTATTCAAGAAGTTCAATATCAAATTCAAAGGAGCTTTGAGTTACCTGATAATGCAATACATCATACATCATGCTCTTCGACATGATTTAATGGAACATATTAGAGAACGTTTTACTAATATGTAATTTCACAATATTGTATTGTAATAATAAAATGTTATCGTTTTAAAACATTTTCTAAAAAACTTAAATAATTTTTTACTATTTTAGATAATTAAAAAATAAATTTAAAAAAAACAATATTAAATATATCATTTTAATTAACTTAATAAATTAAAGTATTAAATATAAAATTAATTTAAACAATAAATGTAAAATAAATAAGAAAATAATAGATATATTAATTATATAAAAAGAATTAGATAAATGTGTTTTAAATAGAAAGTAATTTCCTTTTATATTTATTTTTGCACAAATAACTCATTAAACCGTTGAATGGGCAATGAACTTTTATCCAACTTGTCATGGCTACAATGCAAGGTTGAATCAATTTTACTCTTAAATCATATTTTTTTCCCATTCAATTCTTCATTGAACGACTATTGGATATGACCTTAGTTTAACATCGTTAGCTTGGGCAGAGGGTTATCTCACTGATTTGGTACTCAACTTCAAGCAAGGGTAGAGGTACATTAAGAGAAACTTGAATCCTTGTAGGGTTGTATTAGGGATTCTTCAACCTCCATTACATATGTACACATGCTCGAATCGATTACTTTTGTTGTTGTGTTTAGAATTTGAATCAACTGATTATTTTCCCATGATTTTCTATTGTGGTCAAAGTTGTTATTTTTCATTCAATAAGAGAAAGGAGTGAAAAAATGAGGTTTTTTCGAAATTTATGCTAGTTGTTCAGCTTAGAAGTTGGATTAGGAATAAGCATATAATCATTACGTTGTTTCGTTTCATGGGGCAGATGGATGTTTGTTTGTTACTATAAGCAAACTATTTATAAAGTTCCTCAACAAATCACTCCTGCATTTTGTTAGTATATAAGGATGAAAAAATATTGTCAACATTGCCTTGGGATCTAATTATTTTGGTTTATTTTATAGGTATTATTGTATATAAATGAAGTGTTGTATTACTGTTTAAAGTACTAGGTAAGTAAGAGTCCAAGCCACTGGTGGAATATATAAGAATTGAATGTTTGTTGTTGGGGATAAAGATAGAATTTCAAACAAAGGATAAGTTTTGTATACACTAAACTGACTTTCTTATTGACATGTATTTAATACGTTCAACAATGTTGTATAATATATAGGACTTACATATATATATATATATATATATATATATATATATATATATATATATATATATATATATATATATACAAGAGAAACTAATGTTGAGGTATACCAAACACAACGTTTCATAAACCATCACAACGGTTCATCCCCATTTTGCAACGTGGCATGTTCATATTCTCCTAAATTTTTATTTACCACTCTTTAACACTTTTTGATTTGAGGGAACCACAAATTATCTCAATTAATCGTCCTTTAACCATCATATCTAAAAAAATCAATCACGATATTTGGATTTCATTAATTAGGCAAAACTCAGGATTATAATCATATACATATTAAACTCAATTATATGTTTGCGGTTCATTTATAACTCCATATATGATTTCTAATCTACCTATCATTTTCATTCTGCTATGAATATTTAATGGTCTTAATCTGTTGGAAAAGAGTTGAAGTTATGTAACAATTGGTAAAAATTGGTCAGAGTTCGACGGTCAAACTACCGAGAACCGCTATGTATTAAGGACCAATTGTGTGTGATCCAAGTTATAAAATAGTTGAAGGTAGGTAAATGACGATTTACCAATTTCCACCATGAAAAACGAAATATAATTAAGTTTTAATTGGATTTGAAACTCCTAGATCTTTTGAGATACATTGAACTTTCAATAGCATGTTTGAATCTCGATTGTGCCCTCTCAAGTTTGTGACTGGGATGTCGAGGATCACAAACAAGGTGTGAAGAACCATGCAAATTGACTTGGTACCCTTAACTTTATCACCTAATCGATGTGCCGGTTAACCATACACGCTCCACCGATCTATAATAAAGTCAAGTTACCCTTTGCCACTCTTACTAGTCCTTATTAGTGTGCCGGTTAACCACACACGCTCCACTACTGACTTGGTAAGGTACAAAATGTAATTTCATGGGTTAGCACCTTTTCACATTTTCCTAAGTAACTAAGATTGGGAATGTATAAGTGTTTAGTTACTTATTATTTATCATTATACTTTTAATGAAGGGAGAATTATAGTCATTTCCTACCCGTTCGGCTAACGACCCTCCACCAGTCAAGGAAGCGGTGGGTGAGAGTGGACACCCATTAAACTGTCATTTTATAGGCAGTAACCTTATACCCCCCCTTATAGACCGACTTCGTGAATGAGGCCTACTAACGGTAAGATTGATTTTATCTTATACATATCTATATAATTAAAATTATAATAATAGTATAAGGGTGTATTTTAAACATTTAAAATACTTGGTGGTTTAATCTATTAATTAAACT